TGTGTCCTGTTCTGATGAAAAATAACCAAGAAACCTTCACCAGGAAAAGGCCTCTTCAAAACTCAGAAGTCAGGCACAGAGTTGCCAGTATCTGTTAGTTTCTCCACTGTAAACTAGGATTAATCATACTCTGCATATCACCACCCAGTAGTGAAGCCCAATGGACCTTGTTGTGAGCTCATTTCTTAGTAAATCCAACCCATGATTATACAAATATCTAAGTAAATCCAACTCATGATTATACAAATATGAAATCTAAGTTTAAACCTAAGCAGTGTTTGCTGTCAACAGTCAAAGCCTCAAACACCGACACGGAAAGGGACGTAGCTGAGACCAAACCTGCCAGATGCAGGACACCAGCTGTGAACAGCAGCAGTAAAAGCCACCACAACACACTGGGATCCTGTGCTGATTTTCAGAACCCTATCACTTGCCTTGAGTGCCCCAGACCATGAGGTGCTGCCCTGGGCTGCAGGCAGCGACTACAGCCAAACCACAAGATACATCACAGCCACTGACACCTACAGCCAGAATATCTCAACTCCATCCTTAGAAGCCCACTTAACTGACATTTAAGCATCTGAGTAACTGTATTCACACGAACATAGGTAAAATTACTCACCAATATGCTTGTATAGTCACACCAATATGCCTTTGAAGCTAGCCCGCACATTTCTCAGAGTGGTCCAGGAACAGCACCAGATGATAGAGTTTGCCGTTCAGGGCCTCTCCTCTGTACATAACTTTGATTTCAAAGCTGACTGGAAGAGTCCTTTGAATTCTTCAATCCTAATTCTCCAAGTCTCAGCTTCAGTCAAAGACTGAGTCTTCTTGGAAGGGCTTTTTAACAACGGTTTTCCTTTTGCATTAATGGGTTCCATTTCCCACAACAAGCTAGACCAGTTTGGGTTTGTTGCCTTATTTTTATTTCTCTCCTCCCTCCCCCCCATTCCAGCACTGGAATCAAAATAACTTGAGATGGAAAACGTGTGACCTCGGGAGCCTTTATTTACAGTATCACAAACCACAAGGGAAGGATCTGTCCAAGCTTTCCAGCTGGAATGGGAACAGCAGGGAAAAAACGTGCCCTCGTTTTTGCAGCCGTGATATTTAACACATCACAGAGGAGAAGGAATGGGGAGGAGGCAGGAGAGGTATAAGCAAGTAATGATGCCGTGGAAATATCAGCTATGCAGGTAGGTTCATGTGATTAGGTCTTTTCTCCCGAGGAATAAACAGAGGTACATGCAAATGTAATTGCAAAACCAGCCTGACACATATTTAACGGGGTTACTTCTTGACTTTTACATTATACAAGACTGTAAAATAGAGAAGCCTTCTGGACTTTCACCTGAATTCATATTAGTGCTGTAATGATCTCTCTTCATGCCACCATCCCCCAAATTACAACAGACTGTCAAAAACAAGCAGCCAGAAGCAGTGGAATCTTCCTCAGACATTTAAACAGCACAGAGGAACACAAATGAGCAAGGTTTAGATCTACAGAAAGCTACTTGCAGCAGGAAACTGTCAGTTAGTTTGTGGTTACAACCACACCAGTGTCACAGCTCTTTCCTCCCAGTTAAATATATATGACCAAACAGTTCCTCATGTCTAGTGTTTCTATGGTATAAGGAGGAAAACAACAGGAAGAAAAACCTGCCCATACTTCCACTAGAAATTCCATAGCACCAGGCTGTACAGGAGACACTCTTTTGAAAGGGGATCCTTCTGTACCTTTCCACTTATGCCCCAGACTGTCAGGTCTAACTCAGTTTACCTGTAACATCCTCGAAGACCCCATTTCCCCTCCCTTATTTATTAGCAGCTTCCCCTTCTCCCTGCCTGGCACTGTCACAAGTGCCACACTAACCCACAACCTTTACCCATCAAGATAGGGGAAAGCCGCAATTCTACTGCTCCATTACGCTATCAAACAGGGTTCCTCTCCTTGCCAGCACAAATGCAGCCATCACCCAGCTCTCTAAAGTGTTATCAACCTGATCTAACTCATTGTAAAGTGTTTTGCAATATAGGCTCTAAAGGAGCCAACATCAGGATAGATCTACCCACACAAGGGGTACAATTCTCACATCATGGGGTCACACAGCAAGTCCCCTGGTAAGCACAGGACACAGAATATTAAGAGTCAGCCCCAATTTGTGTCCATATAAAAGGACACAGGGTTCTGGAAGGGAAAAGCTTGTCACATTACACAGCCAGGGGTGGAAAATCACAGCACAGCGTGACACAGGCACAAAGTCAGGTGCTACAGGCAAGGCAGGGAGCGCTGGAAGGGCATTAGATGGACCCAGATGCAAAGCAAACCTGTGCTTCCTTGTGACAAGTCACCATACATTCCTTCAGTGAGGAGCACAAATTGTTTAGAGGGGACAGCACAAGACCTCTGTCCCCAGCCTGCCTCAGATCTTACCTAAGGCACCCTGTAATTCCACCTGCTTTCACCACATCTACTTTCCCTTCTCACATATATTAGCCTCCTGCCCAGTGTCAGTCTCTGACTCTTCTTACAGATACCCTCACTCCTCATCGCACCCCGATTCCTGCAGTTGCAGGACTGGTGGAAACACACAAAGGCAGTGCAGTGGCCCTGGGCAGCTGGAAATGAGGATGCTGAAGGACCAAGCAGCAGATACCTCCTCATTCTGCATCCCCCATCTCCCCATCACACTACTTCTCCCAGCGGCTTTTGGCTAAGGTCCCCCACTGCAAATATCACAGGCACTCAGGGCTTGTGTGCACACACGTCCCTCACATTCTGCTCCCAGCAGAGGCTGAGAACACTTCCCTGGATTTTTAAACAATTCTATGCAAAACACTACCAGGCATGACTTGCAGAGGACCCTCCTCCCATCATTTTCACTCTGCCCAGCAGTTTGGATTTAAACCCTCCAGGTTTGGAAAAGCAAAGGGCTGCACAGGGAAGCTGGTAGAACAGAGGGGAAAATTACCCTGTGCCTACAGTGTTTTCCTGGACATTGCTATTCAGCTTTTTCTGTTTTCATGAAAGCTGCATTCCCTGACAAGGTTTAAAACCCAATTCTTCTCCCTCCATTCCTTACCTGTCAATCCACAGCCATTACTGGCTCTCCAGTGACGCAAGCTGCACAGATTCATTTGTGTGAACACAATTCTGAAGGCAGTTTTCCCTCACCAGCTCAGGAAATTAATGACCACTTGGGCACCTCTCTTACAGAGATCTCAGCCCTGTTAAGTCCTTCAGGCGAGTGAAACGAGTAGAGCCACAGCCTAGGGGCAAAGCAAACCCTAAATATTGCTAAGGATTGCATTTCTTCTTTGCTGTTACCACTAATTCAGAGAAACACACTCTCCTCTACAACAGCTTACAGGGGGAGCGAAGGGGGAGTGCGTGACCTAAAGCAAGGGAGGCAAAGCTCTTGGGACATAGATGTTCTCCCTCAGCACAGGAGCACAAATCCACATGGCAATTAATGCCTCTCCTCCGTAGAGCTGCTGACAGCAGCTTTTGTTCCCAGAGAGACCTGTCCACAGCTCCTTCAGAGAGCCCCAGTGGGCAGAAGCCGTCAGGCTCTCTCCTGAAGAAATCAAGTGCCCCACAATGGGACAAGCTGCAGCACTGGGAGCAGCCTACCCAGGATGGCCTTTGGCTCTGCTAATCCTGAAGTAAGAGGCTTCAGGAAGGGAATTGACATGGGGAATGGCAATGTATTCACTGGGAGCCAATTTCCTGACATGAGGTTATTAAGGTATTCAAATGACCCTTAGTTTTCAAGGATTTCTGGTCAAGATATTGCATGTTAATACAGAGCTGGTGTCATTGCAGCTTCAGTGCAACTGCTGCGACCCTGAGGCATAAACCCAGAGAAAATGAAAAGATGTTTCAGTCTGAGAAGTGAACAGCCTCCGATCCAAACTCATTTATACTTTCTGTTCTTCCCACAAATCTGTTGCTCTTAAAGCAAAAACCAGCAATAGGAGTTTCAGCATCCAGCAGGAGAAATGCAAAGATGCTATACCACAGCATTACCGCAAAAGGAAACATTTGGCGGAGTTGAAAGTTAAAAACACCCTTTCTGATACAAGAAAAAAACATGGGAATGGTGAGGGATGTACTGGGGGAAATAAGATGATGCAAAACTACACATTCAGCCTAAAGCTGACACCCCATCTACTGAAAACCCCTGCTCAGCCACTCATTTTGGAGGCAGGTTTGACACTTATGCTGTGCATTCCTAGAATCCACACAGAAGAGGTCTGATGAGAGCTGGACACATACACAACGAATCCACAGGCAACACTCCACAGGTGACAGCACAAGGGAGTAGCAGGTACATACATTCATTATGAGCATAAAATCTCTTCATATTTACTTAAGAACACCCCAGGGTACTTGCTTCATCAGCTACATTCTACATTGCACATCAATCCTTTTGGCAATGTAAAGCAAATTAAAAGTTCAGAGGGAGGAAAAAAGGTAGAAATTAACCACAATTTTACAGTGGCACCAGAGGCTGCGCACTGCTTATTTCAACACAAATAATATGCAACAAGGTTAAGATTTTTTTGGGGAAAAAGACCCACATTAGATTTAAATATACACAAAGAATTTATGTTAATTGCACATCTGCGCAGCCATTCTCCCTTTTAACTTATTTATTTGAAAGATTCTAGATAAACAAGGGTGCTGACTATGCAGGAGCAAGCAAAGAGCTTGAGTTTTCATTATGAAGAGGTTTATTACCAACACACACATCTGTGCAATTTAAGCAAACCATGTCCTTTGACTGCCAAGCCTCATCCAGCCATTCTTCCAGACTCCATTTTATCATGTTTCCCCCGAGCACTATTCAAGTGGAACCCAAGGTAAGGTTAATCCCCTCTCTCACCAGCAGCAGCATCCATCAGTCTCATTACCATTCTCCCTAGTAACATCTAAATGTTTTTTCCCTATCGTAGGAGAAAAAGAACAGCCACCCAGCTGAAATGCCAGGACCTACCTTCTGCAAAATCTCTCTCTAGATGCTTCCGAATGCAGGAGGGAGTAAAGACAGCATTGCTGGAAAAGGATGTCACTGTTGGTCCACATGTGTCAACATCCTAGAGGAAGATAAAACACAGTCACTTAACTGCCATGGGAAATCAACAGCAAGAATAAAGCTGCATTCTTTTCACAGCTACACCATGCTAATGGCTCCTATGCAAACAACATAAAGCTACCACGTTTTCTAATTGCACATCAGAGTTTCTCCGCAGACATCCCTCCGGTATGTCAGAAATTCAATACGTGATAGTAGGCGGCAGTGAGCACCTCGGGGATTTAAAGCGCGTTCCAAGCCCTGAGTCATCGGCATCTCCAACTCATGGAAATTAAAACAAAACCAAAACAAAGCAAAAAAGAGAAAGAAGAAAACCCACTCGCACGCGTTGCTCTGACCACCCTCATCTGCTCTCTGTAAATACCGTAACTCTCCCCTCAAGTATTTCCCTCATCACACACAAAAACCATCACATTGCAGCGTTCCTCCAGTTAGCTCCCCGGAGACCAGGCAGGATCCCACATTTGAGGGTGGAAACAAACTGGAGCTGCCTTTATAAACCCCACAAGTCCTTCCACACCTGGAGGAGGAGTGAAGAGCAGGCACCTCCCATGGCTGCTGCAGAGGATGGAGCAGCCAGGCCTGAGGGATGGCAGAGATGGGCTGGTGAACCAGCAGCACCCAGGAGGACAGACCCAGCTCCCTTCCCACACAGCTCAGGAAATGCCAACCCCAGGCAGCCCATTTACAGTTCATTTCCCAGCCAGCAGATACCTGCTTTCCTCCAAGGCTGGTTTTTGTCAGGAGGGCTGAGAGCAGAAGGAACTGAGAGCAGGCAACACAGTGTTACCTGCCAAGCAGCTTACACGGGTTGCTTCGTTATGCCAAGCAGCATGTTGCCTTTCTAAGAGATTCCTTCAGGCACAGACTCATCATTACCTCCAATCTCTTTTTAATGCCACCTTTAAAGCACCTGGTTTGCACTTCAGGGCACACACATGTGCTATATCCTCCACCCCAGCCATTGCTCCACTCTCTTCTTGATGTGGTCATGGTTGAATGGGGCTTTGAGCAACCTGGTCGAGTGGAAGCCCCTGTGGCAGGGGCTTGGAACTAGATGAGCTTTAACTCAAACTATTCTATGATCCTTAGACCTCCCTGAGTATATTCAAGTTCCTTTAAGTCTTCCTTCATTTCCTGGCTTATCCCCTGTTTGTCTGCCCCTGCTGTCCTCCAAGCAACAGCCAGAACAGAACAGCTCTCAGCAGCACAAGGTCTGACCGGGTGGATGGAGAAGGGAAAGCTGGATAGAGTATGTGCAGCCCTTCCCCTGCCAAGTCACCCAGGGCAGGCAGACAGCTTCAGGAAGTCAACAGAGATCAGTAGATAACTTGACCACACGTGCATGCAAGGGGGACTGGGCCTCAGCAGCTCCCACACACCCCAGAGAGCCACCCGCTCAGAGTAAAGCTGCCTTTAACTCACTGAATTCCAAGGCTGCAGCAATATTCCCTTCCCCTTCAGGTCAGGAAAGGAGCTGTGTTTTGCACCAGAACATGACCTCAGAGCAGCCTTCCAGTATCTGAAAGGGGGCCTATAGGGATGCTGGGGATGGACTCTTCATTAGGGACTGTAGTGACAGGACAAGGGGTAATGGGTTCAAACTTAAACAGGGGAAGTTTAGATTGGATATAAGGAGGAAATTCTTTCCTGTGAGGGTGGTGAGGCACTGGAATGGGTTGCCCAGTGAGGTTGTAAATGCTCCATCCCTGGTAGTATTCAAGGCCAGGTTGGACGAAGCCTTGGGTGGTATGGTGTAGTGTGAGGTGTCCTTGCCCATGGCAGGGGGGTTGGAACTGGATGATCTTAAGGTCCTTTCCAACCCTAACTGTTCTATGATTCTATGCAAGTTTGGGTCCACATCCACACCAGAAAATGCAAATTTGGGTCCACAACCACACCAGAAAAAGCATCTCCTCAACTGGGACCTGCATTCAACCCTAAAGACCAGCATCCACAACCAAAGGGTTATAAGAATACACCAATATACTCTGCTCTATGCTTGGGAAAACCACTGATATCTTCAGCTGTGATACACTGCTCCAGTTAACAGATAGATTTATGTCTGACCAACAGCTTAATGAAAAGCGACCCCTCTACTTCTCTACCTTCCTGCACAGCCATTTAAAACAATAACAGTGCTGGCACAGGTCAGACTGATCCTGGAGGAAGAGCAAACGTGAGTACCATTTCAGGACCATTAATCTCAGAGACCTCACCGGGAGCAAGCAGCCGGACAGCTTAAAAATATATTTAGTCCACAAATGCTTATTAGCGTCAGCGGCTGATTCAGAGCTGAGCCACTCGCATGGAGCGCAAACGCCACTTCTGCTTTCCCAGCCTGGGTTTACAACAACAAGTGCTGGGTATCAGGTTGCTCAACGTACCTCAAAACCTCCTGTGATGCAGCTATGAGATGTGGATCTAAGCTGAGCTGGAAACCACAGGTCCAGTTTGTAGTCCTATGGTGTCTGCGCTGACTCTTAAAGACGAGGGATTCCCACGTGCCAGATCTGGCTCACGTACAACTTTCCACTGTGGTCTCACAGCAGCCACCACACGGCTGCATCCTCATGTGCACCATGGAGAGGAAACACTCCAGCCAGACAATGGTATTAGAGCATTTCCTTAGCTTTGCTGGGGCACTTTGAGAGGTGAAAGCACCACGCATGAAGAGCCAACCTGATCCAGCTATCCAGGACGAGCCACAAGCCAGTATTTGCAACACACATACATAGATGCAGTTGTCTTTCAGACTCACTAGACGCCAGTCCTTGATGTCACCCAAATGACTGCCATGTGCTACAAAGCCAAAGCTTAGTTTTCTTTCCATTTATTGGCTATCATTCTTGTTCCAACTATTAATAAAGACCAGATCATAAATAAAATGGGCACTGCAAGCTCACAACAAAATTAACAGTGAAAATCATCACTGCTTTTAAAATTACATCTTGACATCAATCAAAGGAAAATATCTGATTATTTCAGAGATATCAACCTGTGTCAAGAGTCTGAGGGTGGGCTTTGGGGCAGAATTAACCCACTAAATTCCTAAGGAATCCTTTAAGAAAAACCTCTTTCCAGAAAGGGAAATGTAAAGCATTTCTTCCCCTGCTGTTCTACACAATGCAATGATTGGAAGCCCAAAGGATTTTCTCTCTAAATCACCTATTCAAATCTGTACGATGGAAATACATTCAAATAGAACATTTTAATCTTGCTTTGCATTTCAACTTTTAAAGGTTTTTCAGGAAGGCCTTGTTAGTCTTTTAGCCATTCTACCCCACTGAGCTCCCAGTAAACAAGAGCCTTCACATTACATTTCTTTTTTAAAGGGATTATATATATGTATGTTTTAAAACCAATATATAGATGGTCTGGTTGTCTTAGTATTTTTTACATGTCATACAAAAATTCACTCAGCAAGGCACTCGGATTTGTCACTATCCAGTCTACATCTGCTTTGACAAGTTTCTGTAGATGCTGAACAATATCCACCTAAAAAGAGTATCCACCATACCCTAAGCACATAAATACAGGCTGACTCCATTCCTTTGGTTTTGAGGAGTTCAACACAGTTCCCAGAACTAGCAGGGCTGGACCCATAAAGTGTCTCAGTGTTCAGCTGACCCATTGTGGGAGCAATCTCAAAAGCCTCACTGGGCAGCTGTGCCAATCCAGAGAGCAGACACAACACCTCCTCAGTTTAAGGAAACCAACCTTCAAGCTTCCCACCAGCTTTCTCCTTTTCTGTTTCAGGGTTGGGGCTTTTCTCCCTGTGTTTCTAGGCTGGGATGGGTGACAAAACAACTTCTCTTCCGTGACAGCAAGTCTGAAACAATTACTCCAAACAGAAGGAGCGCTCTACACGCTTGCTAACAGTACTGAAATCAAAAGTGGTTAAAAGCAAAAGCACTTCTGAACAACAGAAACTGAAAGTATTGCCTTTGGGAAATGTAAACACCAGCATCTTCCCTAACTGAAAGAAGCAGATCATTAATGGAGCCTAGGACACCCTGACACATTTATAAAACCTCTTCTTTGCCATAATCATAAACAATTCACCTCGACTGCATTCCCAAGTCAGAGCTTTCAAAAATCACTGCAGTTTGCAGAGGCCTCACTGATGCTATTCTTAATTTACTTATTTTTAAGGTGTGAGAACAGATTACCAATGCAAAACTCAAACTCAAAGCTTGTCAGTTTTAAGCCTCTTTTAGATTGGTAATAATTAACCCTATCTGCATTTCAGAAACATTTTGTGATAAGTGGTAATCGAATACACAGCTAAAACTGCTTCTATTTTAAATTTATACTACTGGAAGGCAGGAGCCTTCAGCATTATTCATCAAGGGACACATTTGTCCAAACCAAACCACCAGGAAAAGGCCACCCAACAAACCAGGAGTTAATGCATAAGCTCCCAAAAGGCTAGAAGAACATTTTTATTATGGGTGATTTGCAAAGGTGAACATGACAAACTTGCTTCCCTCAAAGCCCTTCAAGGAAGGTAGGATCTCTCCAAAGAGGTCTCTGGGCATCGGAGCAGCTCAGAAACCCATGCAAAGGCCACTTTTGGCTTTGTAGCAGCAGACAGCTCATCACACAAGGCACACAGCAGCACCCCACAGTTATTACTACACAGACTGATATGCAAATACATTTTGCAAGGAGGAAGAGGTGCCACCCTGCAAGAGGAAAGCGGCTCGTATTCAGCACACTCAAAACACTACATTACCCTAACAGAACTAGCAGTTACCTTTCCACGCAGGAGGATTAATCACAAGATGCTTTCTGCTGGCTTCTGAAGGCTTCTCTGCTTAACTCATGTTACAGTCCACTTTTCACTCCTTGCTCCTAAGATGTACCACCACTAAAACACTTTGGTGGCACAACAGAGCTCCCACCTCACCATTACCTGAACACACACCTGGGGACAACTGCAGACCAGAACACACTGGTGCTCTCTCACACCCAAGAGCAGAGTCCTGCTGAGCAAAG